GCTCCTAGCCACCGCAGCCTCGACCTGCTGGGCTCCAGTGGTCCTTCCGCCTCAGCCTTCCGAGTAGCCGGAATTACAGGCATGTGCTACCATGCCCAGTTGATTTTTTGATTTATTGTAGAGATGAGGTCTCGCTGCTCAGGTGGGTCTCAAACCCGCGGACTCAGGCAATCCACTCACCTCAGCCTCCCAAAGGCGCGGGATTACAGGCTGAGCCACCGAGCCCAGCTGGGAACAAGATTTCTTAAAGATACACAATTCTTTACATGAACATCTTTTTGCTATCACAAATTCAGTTAAGGTAGTAAAGAGACTTTACCAACCAATACAGCCTTTGGACTCAGACCCTCATATTTCCTGGAAGATTAGAGACAAACCTGGCCCACGGCTACAAAGGCTGAGGTTCTGTTCCTCCCTCAATAAAGCCTTAGTAGTCTGAGGTGGCCAGGCCAAGGACTTGGGGTCACATGTGTCTCCTTCCTATTCCCCAAGGAACTCAAGAATGCAGGAAAAAAAAATGATGACAATGCAGTCTTAGTACTCTCTACCAACAAAAGCCAGGATAAGCACAGACACAGGAGCTGGGCGGTATGTCAAAGCTTCTTTGCTAAGAACATTTTACCCCTAAGCAAGCCCCTCAGGTCTTCTGTCATTTATAAAGTGCAGTGTCAAAGAAACCCAGTGGGCAAAAAAACTCCAGTCACCAGGAGACAATAATACAAAATCAAATCACTGGAGATAACATGAATTAGTACATCCTCAACGAGGACAAGGTAGTTGTATCTCTCAGTACCACAAAGCATGGATCCTCCTACCCCGCAATTCCATGTCTTGAGATCTTCCCACAGATAAACCTGAAGCACAGACAATACAGTGTACATACTAGGGAGATCACCGAAGCTGGGTTAGCAAAAGTCTAGAAACAGACTGAAACGTGAATGATTGAATAAACTGCAGTATATACATACAATACATCATGAAGCAGCAAAAAGACTAAGAGGACACAGCTTCACTCCTAGGATATTTCTTCTAAAAATGTACAACCTGAATCTCACCATAGTAATATACATGACAAACCCAAATTGAGGAGCATTTGACAAAGTAACTGGCAAAACATCAAAGTTTTCTCAAAGGTCTTCAAAAGTATCAAAGTTCTGTTTGTTTTTTTAGAGTCAGGGTCTTGCTCTGTTAACCAGGCTGGAGTACAGGGGCACCATCATAGCTCACTGCAGTCTTAAACTCCTGGGCTCAAGCACTCCTCTCAAGTAAGTAGGACTAGAGGTGCACATCACCATGCCCAGCCTTTTTATTTGGTAGAGACGAAGACTCCCTAAGTTGCCCAGGCTGGTCTCAAACTCCTGGGCTCAAATGATCCTCCCGCCTCAGACTCCTAAAGCACTGAGCTTACAGACATGAGCCACTGAGTCAAGTCCAAAGTGTCAAAGTTTAGAAAGGCAAGGAAAGACAGGAAATGTTCCAGATGGAAGAAGCCTGAATAGACAGAACTGAATGCTACCTGAGATTTTGAACTAGCTCCTTCTGCTAGAAAGACCATCACTGGGACAATGGGCAGAGTTGAATGGAGTCTGATGACTCGATGGTAGTCATGTGTAAGTGTTCTTGACTCTGCCAGCTGTACCATACTGTGATTGTAAGAGAAAGCTGGTTTGCAAGAATAAAACGCTCAAGTATCTTGGGGTGGGGAGGAATCAGGTTGACAATTTATCCTAAAACGGTTGCACCACACGTGCAAGTTTCATGTAAGTTTGGGAATGAAGAATGTTTAGATTGGTTGGGCACAGTTGTTAATGCCTATAAGCTCAGCACTTTGGGAGGCAGATGTGGGAGAAGTGCTTGAGCTCAGGAGTTCGAGACCAGGCTGGGCAACATAGTGAGACCTTGTCTCTACCAAAAATACAAAAAAAGTTAGCTGGAAGTGGAGGTGTGTGCTTATAGTCCTAGCTACTCAAGAGACTAAGGCAGAAGGATCACTTAAGCCCAAGAGGTGGAAGCTATGGTGAGCTGGGATCATGCAACTGTATGGCAGCCTGGGTGACAGAATGAGATCCTGTCTCAAAAAAATGAAAAATTTACAAAGAATTTTTAGGCTGGACGTGGTGGCTCACACCTAAAATCCCAGCACTTTGGGAGGCAGAGGTGAGAAGACAGTCTAAGCCCAGGGATTCAAGACCAGCCTGAGCAATTTGGCAAGACCTCATCTCTACAATAATCAAAAAATAGCCAGGCATGGTGGCACACACCTGTAGTCCCAGCCACTGGGAAGGCTGATGCAAAAGGATTGTGTGAGCCCAGCAGGTTGAGGCTGCAGTAGCCACGAGCTTGCCACTGCACTCCAGGCTAGGCAACAGAGTGAGACTCCAACTAAAAAAAAAAAAACAAAAGTGATTTTTAGGCTAGGTGCAGTGACTCATGCCTGTAATTAGCAATCTGGGTGGCCGAGGTGGAAGCACCACTTGAGCTCAGGAGTTCAAGACCAACTAGGCAACATAGTGAGACCTCATCTCTATAAAAAAAAAAAAAAGAAAAAAGTTAGACAGGAATGACAGCAAGTGTCTGTAGTCCCAGTTACAATACTTGGGAGGCTAAAGAGGGAGGATCACTTGAGCCTAGAAGGTTGAGGCTGGGGTGAGACATGATCCTGCCACTGCACTCCAGCCTGGGCAACAGCGAGACCCCGACTCAAAAAAAAAAAAGAATTTAAAAGACGAGGTAGTCTGTAGTTTTTGTTTTCTGTTGTTTTTTTTTTGAGTTGGAATCTCACTCTGCCGCCCAGACTGGAGTGCAGTGGCACGCACCCGGCCACCGCAGCCTCGACCTGCTGAGCTCCGGCAATCTTTCCACCTCAGCCTTCCAAGTAGCTGGAACTACAGGTGTGCGCTACCATGGCCAGCTAATTTTTGATTTTATTGTAGAGATAAGGTCTCGCCAAGTTGCCCAGGTGGGTCTCGAACCCGCAGGCTCAGGCAATCCTCTCACCTCGGCCTCCCAAAGGCGCGGGATTACAGGCTGAGTCACCGAGCCTGGCTGTCCGTAGTTCTTAATGCAGTATTACAGAATATTGCTTTATCAAGATATCTTTTATGTAAAAATTAAGAAAAATATGCATATAAGCAATTGCTTGAATACACATAAAGACCATGAAAGAATACCTAAGAAACTGACAGCACTGGCTGCCTCCAGGGAGGAAAACTGGATGGCTGGGAGCAGAGGTCATAGGAAGCATCATTACACATTCCTTGAAACTTGAACCATGTAGAAATTTACTGTATAAGGAAAATTTAAATTAGAAAAATTAAAATTATATGTACTTTAGGGTTTCTTTTTTTGTTAGAGATAGGATCTTGCTGTGCTGCCCGGGCTGGACTTGAACTCCTGAGCTCAAGCAATCCTCCTGCTTCAGTCTCCTAAGTAGCTGGGACTACAGGTACACACCAAGACAGCTCTGCATTTTGGTTTTAAGAATTACTTAAATTACGAAACCGAAATTTGCATACACACGTAAGCAACATAGAAGAATAAATAACAGTTTTGAAGTAATTATTTCAAATGAATAGGAAGCAGATGGAGTTGGGGAATTTTTATTTTCTGATACACATTTCTATAATGCTTATATTTTCAGTGATGAACATTTTTTTTTTTTTGAGTTGGAGTCTCACTCTGTCACCCAGACTGGAGTGCAGCGGCTGCTCCCGGCCACCGCAGCCTCGACCTGCTGGGCTCCGGTAATCCTTCCACCTCAGTCTTCCCAGTAGCCGGAATTACAGGTATGCGCTACCACGCCTGGCTGATTTTTTTTTTTATTTATTGTAGAGATGAGGTCTCGCTGCCCAGGCAGGTCTCGAACCCGTGGGCTCAGGCAATCCACTCACCTCAGCCTCCCAAAGGTGCAGGATTACAGGCTGAGCCACCGAGCCCGGCTGGTCCTCAATCTTTCAGACCAAGTTTCCTCAATCCCCTCAATGATGGCTAGTAATAGCTGCCATGTAGGACTTGTTTAAGGATTAAAAATTATACATATTAAGTGCCCAGCATGCCAGTGGCACTCAATGCCATTCTTAATACTGATACAGTCTCAGAAATCTAAATTATCAGTATATAAAGATCTGGATTTTCCAAAGACACATATGATCTAACCACCCCATTCCCTGTGAGGTGATGAGAAAGGAGATAAGTCACATGGAAACTCATACTCAGGTAGGCCAGAATTCCCCCGACATCAGCCCTCCTGCCACAAGGGAAGGAATGCTAACTGAATTATAGATAGGGCTAGAAATGGACCACTGTGCAAAGTAAAATACAGTGCACAAACCTGTCTTGGTGAGTAGGAACCAGGATCAGTTATGCATCGCACTTAACAACAAGAAGTTTTCAACAGAGCTGAGCTGACAGACACTGGCCTAGGGTCAGTGCAAACGATGGTAAGGTTATTTGTCCTTAAGGAGTTTACAGCTTGGGGAAGGTGGTCAAGTAAACAAATAACAGTAGTGTGACAAACACTGGGTAGAAATTCCAGAAGACTATAATTGTATTTTATGAAGCACTTATTTTATGAAGCATATGCAAACAAATGTATTAATTTTTTTAAAAAACATTGAATTGTTTATATGAAAAGATAGGGCCAAGTGCAGTGGCTCAAGCCTGTAATCCCAGCACTTTAGGATGCTGAGATCACGGGACTGCCTGTGTCCAAGGGTTTGAGAACAGCCTAGGCACCTTAGCAAAACTTCATCTCCATAATAAATCAAAAAATTAGCCAGGCATAGTAGCATGCACCTGTAGTTCTGGCTACTTGGAAGGCTGGGGTGAAGAACTGCCTGAGTCAAGCAGATCAACACTGGGGTGGCCATGAGCATGCCACTGCACTCCAGCCTGGGTGACAGAGTGAGACTCCAACACAAAAAAAAAAAGAAAAGAAAATGAATTATATTATTAAGATTTTTTAGAGGAAAAGGGATACATAAAGTAGTGTTAACTCTTACCTGGGTATTGTCTGTATAATGAAAATATCTTGGCCACGAACAGATTCTTTTATTTCAACTCTTGTTTCTGAAAAATAAAAATTTTCTAAAGTTTTAAGAAAAGTACTTTATGATACAATAATTAGGTAGCATTTAGAGAGATAAAGATGAATCTAAAGCAACACTTCACTTGGTGCATCAAGAAAAATTCTTAAAAGATTTCAGAATGACATGTACACATATAATAACAGTCAAGCGAGGGGGAAAATAAGCCAAATATAGAAGACAAAGCTAACCAAGTACATAAAGTCTCAGGGTCCAAACAAAAAGAACACACACACATCCACAACCCACCACCAAAATAAAGACATAACAAAATGTTTAGGAAAGTCTACAGCAGGCATGTCCAACCAACAGCCCAAAGGCCACACGCGGCCCAAGGGAACTAGTAATGTGGCCCTACAAAATTTTTTAACATCACGTGTTGTTTAGTGTTTATTTTTTATTTTTTAGAGTTGGAGTCTCACTCTGTCACCCCAGACTGGCGTGCAATGGCTGCTCCCAGCCACCGCAGCCTTGACCTGCTGGGCTCTGGCAATCCTTCCGCTTCAGCCTTCCAAGTAGCTGGAACTACAGGCGCATGCTACTACACCCAGCTAATTTTTGATTTGTTGTAGAGATGAGGTCTCATCAAGTTGTCCAGGCAGGTCTCGAACCCGCGGGCTCAGGCAATCCACTCACCTCGGCCTCCCAAAGTGCGGGGATTACAGGCTGAGCCACCGAGCCCGGGTTTACTGCTTATTTTCATCGTGACCCCATGTCCATTTTTAAAGTTCATAATCATGTCTTATTTATGACATTGATTTCTGGCAGCACATGTATTTGTGAGTAGCTGTTTTCAATTATGAAGTACACAAAGAGTAAAATTCAAACACAATTCTGACAAGCACCTTGACAACTCACTAAGAATTGCAACCACTTCCATGGAACCAGATATTGATAGATTAGTTTTACAAAAATGAAGTAAAATTTCCCACGAGTTTTATATTGTTCTCAATTTTCTAAACTTTATAATAAAAAATATTTAAAAAGGTATCTTATTATACAAATATTTGTATATACACACACACAAACTATATTATGTAGCTTATGTGTGACCCAAGACAATTCCTCTTTACTCAGTACAGCCCAGGGAAGCCAAAAGGTTGGACACTCCTGATGTACAGCAAATAAAGAAGCCAAAAGATTAACATCCTTATTATTCTTTCTTACTTTTTTTTTTTGAATTGGAGTCTCACTCTGTTGCCTAGGCTGGAGTACAGTAGCACACTCACAGCCACTGCAGCCTCAACCTGCTACGTTCAGGCAATTCATCTGCTTCAGCCTTCCAAGTAGCTGAAATTACAGGTGTGTGCTACCATACCAAACTAATTTTTTGATTTATTGTAGAGACAAGGTCTCGTCATGTTGCCCAGGCTAGTCTGGAACCTGTGGGCTCAGCCAATCCCCTCACCTCCGCCTCCCAAAGTGCTGGGATTACAAGCGCAAGCCACTGTGCCCAGCCTACGTTCTTATTATTCTTTCAACAAATGCTGAGACCTCCTCTTTGCCAGGCCCTGTGGGGACCCCAATGTAGAAGACCTAGACCAAAAGACAAAGAATGACCCAAGAGAGACGATGCAGTACCAAAGGCCGGCAAACCCTCCAGACCCTATGGCAGAGACAGACTAGCCAAGATACAAGAGGAAAATAACAGAGCTGGGAACAGTGGCCTCACTGCAAACTGGAATATGAGGTGAGGAAGTAGGGGAACATGGGAAGATGTGGGGGCAGAATGTGACAAGCAGAAAGGCAGGCAGTCCACTTGAAAACCACCTGGAAAGCAGAGTGAGTGAGGGGAAAAAAGTAGACAAGAGGTCAGGGAGCCAACAGGGGCCAGACCATGCAGGACTCTAGATTTTACTTCCGATTTTATAAGGAGTTTGGAATTTATTATAAATGTGATAGGAAAGCCACTAGAGGATTTGAAGTTGGTAAGGTTTGATCTTGTTTTAAAAAAACCTCTGGCTACTATGTGAAGAAAAATGCAACCGGGCAGGAGTGGCCCCCGGGAGACTACGAAAGCTGCTTTTGAAGGAGTCCAACAAGCAGCACATGGCAGCGGGATTAGAATGGCAGCAGTGGAGGCCGAGAGAAGGGGTGGGATTTAAGATGCATTCCAAAATCAGAGTACACACGATGTGGTGATCGATGTGATCAAAGATGAGGCAGGTAAAGGGGCAGAACCTGGATCCCAAAGGGCCCCACGCAATTGCTAAGAAGAATGAACTCCAGCTTAGGAGTGGCATTTGCTTTTATAGAGCCCCAAACATCATTATGCCTTAGTGATGCCGCTCCTCTAGCTACTTATCAGGTACAACTTAGAAAGAGAAAGGAAGCATGGAATTATGAACCCAGGCTTTTAATTTTGCAAATATAACTCCAAATTATTATTATTATTATTTTTTTTTTTTTTTGAGTTGGAGTCTCACTCGGTCGCCCAGACTGGAGTGCAGTGGCCACTCCCGGCCACCGTAGCCTTGACCTGCTGGGCTCCGGTGATCCTTCCACCTCAGCCTTCCGAGTAG